GGAAGGATAGATGGATGGATGGATGGATGGATGGATGGATTTAGTGGGATTATGTAAAAGCTAGTTAAAACATGAACATAATTAGGTTGTTCTGAAACTCCTAAAATGTTTGTTGCAAATCCATTTTTTGACATTTGCATGACTGTGTCGCGCAATGAACACCTCCAAACATGAGTGCCCTCATCCATCAACCATTATGATCTTTCATCATCCTCCATCAAAGTCATATTTTTTGGAACATTTTGCAAACTGCCTTGGTGGAAATTTGAAAAACTCAGATTCACAAAAAGGGACATACACAATGCCATCCCCTTTTTGCATACACAGATGAAAGGTGTACTGCTTATCACCAATCCTGCGATTGGCTGGCAACCGGTTCAGGGTGTCCCTCGCCTACTGCCCGAAGATGGCTGGGATGGGCTCCAGCACCCCCCGCGACCCTTGTGAGGATAAAGCGGATCAGAAAATGGATGGATGGATATGCATTTGGGAATGAAACCAGCCATGTTAACCCATCGACAGGTGGAGTTACTAAACATGGATGTCATATAATAACAATAATTACAACAATAATCATTATCATCGTGATAATTGTCTTTGTCATGATTCGTGCTCGCTACTTGACAGGTCTTAGAGTTAATACGGATGTGTATTTATCGAACACAATAGATAAGAGGAAGAGGCATAGTAATCGTCTAATTAATTAAGAAGTCTTAATGGTGTGGAATAGATTCAGGACTATCAAGCAATCATCATGCGAAGCCATATCTTATAATGACTCGGGCTTATGAACTTGAAGGTGCAGTTTGAGTCCTGCTGTGAACAGAAGAAGAAAAATGTCAACTACCTGTTGGCATACTAGTCTGCAAGATGATAGTCTGCAAGATGATAGTCTGCTTCCTGACTATTGCCGAGGTGCCCTTGAGCAAGGAACTGAACCCACAGTAATTCATGCCTTCGTCACATCCCGGCTCGATGACTGTAATGCACTTTACTTTGGAGTCAGCCAATCCTCCATTAAGCGTCTCCAGTTGGTCCAGAATGCCGCTGCTTGCCTTTTGACTGGTACGCGTAAGAGGTTAGCACATAACTCCTACTCTGGCATCCCTTCACTGGCTCCCTATACATTTTAGAGTTCTTTTTAAGATCCTATTATTTGTTTTCAAATCTTTAAATGACCTAGCGCCACCCTACCTCTCTGAGCTCATACGCTCCTACACACCTGCCCGACGCCTCAGGTCTGCAGACCAGACATTATTAGAAGTACCAAGAACTAAACGGAGGCTCAGAGGGGATCGAGCCTTTTCCGTTGCTGGTCCCTCTCTCTGGAGTGACCTCCCACTGAACATTCGGCAAGCCCCCTCGCTGCCCATCTTTAAAACCCGCCTCAAAACTCACTTGTATTCTTTGGCATTTGACTCAGCATGACTCAGATTTGATTTTAGTTTTACTGTTTGGTGCTTTCTACCGTCTTTGTTACTGATTTATTGCTTTTTTGTTGTATATATGATAGTTGCTCCATGTACAGCACTTTGTATGCAGCGATGGCTGTTTCCAAGTGCTCTATAAATACAGTTGAGTTGAGTGTGTGCACCCCTTTGACTCTGTCTGACATCTCTTTTTGCATGCTTGTGTGCGCTCTGATTCTCTGTGTGATGTGCAGCATAAATGTACCGTACATCCGAGTGCGAGTAAAATATATATATATATATATATATATATATATGTATGTTTGGGTTTTTTTTTTTCCTCAGAGTGGCACTTGGTGACTGGTTAGCACGTCCGCCTCACAGTACAGAGGTCATGGGTTTGAATCCGAGCTGCGGACTTCCTGTGTAGAATTTGCATGTTCTTCCCGTGGGCTTTCTCCGGGTATTCTGGTCCGTCCCCTCCCCCCTGCATTCCAAAAACATGCATGATAGGTTGTTTGAATGCTCAAAATTGTCCCTAAGTGCTAATGCGACTGTGAATGGTTGTTTGCCTATGTGTGCCGTGCGATTGTGCAATTCTTGAGGAACTGTTGATTTAGTCTCAATTAGATTGCAGTTAAAAGAAGGCTAACGTGACATCAACAATAAAGTATTAAATGTTCAATTTAATGAAAAAAAATAACACATTAAATTGAACATTTAATTGCTTTATTTTATTTTTTTTTATGTGAATAAATACTCTCCTATATATTGTTTGCCATCATTTAGGACGTTATATAGAATTAAACTGCCGGTCCATAATAAAAGAATGTGTGATGTTTGGGTGTGTCACATTTTTTACATGTGATTAGATTGTTGCTCCCTCATGACTTTTAACTATTCAAACAACGGGCTCTGTAAGGAAAATTAATTCAACTGTGAGACAATGGTGAAGGAGCCAGGGTCAATTCCACTGTGTGGATTGCACACATGTAACCAGATGCTGTCAACCCATTGCCATGACTTCACCTTTTTCCACAGGAGTACACGCGCACACGCACGCGCAGCCAATGCAGCGCAGTCATCGTAGACTGGCACAGAACGAGCCAACCCCTATTGTGAGCCCAGACGTCCATTGTGATCTTACACAGTGCGATCACACAGGCATGTATGTTCCTCTTGGAGTAGAATACACAAAGAAACAGCTGGCTAACTGGTTTACAATGGGGCGGAGCCAAACATTTTAATCTGAGACATGCGGCGGAAACCCGAGTCAGCAAGATGTCTTCAACCAAGTTTTAGCAAGTCTCGACACTGCGACCAATACAGTATGCTCGCAAATGATGCCAACTTTTCAGAGTATGCGGTGGTTAAAATGTCATCCGGTCACACTAGCACGAGTGCATGATTTAATATCCCGGCTGATACTTTGGGGGAATACAGCAAAAGGAGCTTGGAGGGCCTCTGTGTCATATGTCAGACTGCGCACACAAGGCGGATAAATCCGTCTGGGATGCGCGTCAGGTTAATTCCTTCCTGTATAAAAGGAAATGAATAATAACTCTGCACATCTGAATAATAACTCTCCAAAACTCTCCAACTCTCCAATTGCCATGTTCATGGCAACCGAACTAAACTAGGACTATTTGCTTGATAAAGAATGGCTTCCCATTCAGCTGGCTCCCATTCACTGAGACGCTCTTTCGGCAACGGAGACTGCACGCTCGTCATCCAGTGTTCCGTGTTGAATTATAAATACTGTTAGGTACCACTGTGGTAAAACACAGTAGGCGGCCGGTTGGGTCTCCAACTATCAAACGCTTGCTAGCTTAAAACTCGGTAACTGCTGTATTGTGTGTGTTGTCGGCCGATCACTTGAATCACTGGTGCCCATGTAGCAGGCAGATGTTTATGATTAAATATTTCTATTTGCGTTTAAAACACATTCCATTTTTGGAGTTCAAACAGATATGGTCAAACATTGACATCTGTCAACGCTAGCGAGACTTGAGGTGCTTTCAAATACAGTCGTTCATTTCAAACTCAAATTGAAAAAACAAATCTCTCGATGCAGTCAACATTAATAGCGACAAATATCTAAACAATGCGGGCTTTTTACCAGTCTAACGAAGCTGACATATATCAGTTGATATCACTTGTATTTTTACTTAATTACAATCAATGGTCCATCTCGTCACTTACTGTATGTTTGAAGCCAAACGATACTTCAGGTTCACACCATCCCCAGACAGCAGCAAATCATATGATAACTCATTAATCATCTAAATCAGGGGTCCCCAACCTTTTTTGCCCCACGGACCGGTTTATGTCAGACAATATTTTCAGGGACCGGCAATGAAGGTGTGGCGGAAATAATACAACAAAATAATATGGTATGAGCTGCATGAAAACTGTGGTGTTTTCGAAATATAATAATAAACACAAGGAGCGTCTAATCAGGCCGCAACACTCTGATCGCTATGGTCATGTTTAATGCCTTCAAAATACGATGCAATACAAATTCAAAGTGCATGAAAATGACGACTCACCACAGCCCCGAGCTTGATTTTCTGCAACCAGACGGTCCCATCTTGGAGTAATAGGAGACAATGACACCTCAAGTGTGTGTTTTGCGTCAAGTCTACTTCGTAATTTTGTTTTAGTCGCCGTTGCTGCAGAAAAGCCCCGCCTCACACAGGTAGGATGTCGGAAATAGCAACAGTGCTACTGTGGCGATCTCAGAATATTCAGCCATAACTTTTATCCAGTTGTCTCGAACGTACTTTTAAGGCCGCTGTCATTTGATCTCCAGCAGTTTTTTTACTCATTTTGCGAGCTCTGGTGTTTTTTTTTAAAGCGGAATCGGTCACGTGACGGGGGAAAGCGTTGCTTGACGTGCGTCAAGCGTGACACAGACGGATGTAACGGAGAATCCGGTAATTTTTCAAAATAAAACATCTTTCGTATTCCGAAATAAAACGGAATTAAGGCAAGTTCTTTCTGTGCGGCCCGGTACCAAATGCCCTGCGGACCGGTACCGGTCCGCGGACCGGCGGTTGGGGACCCCTGATCTAAATGATCAGCTTTTTTTATGGTATTGTTAGATGATGCCGCCACAGAGGATAACCAGTAATGGCAGAGAGGAAAAGTAACAATAACAAAACTGCTCAAGGAACTGTGACACAAGAAAGGGGCCTGGATGCTACTCTGTACACTATAAGCAGTACAATATATTAATTAAAATATCATGTATAATTTTATATGCAATTTGAGTAAAAAATGAAAACCACAACAAGGTGAAATTCATCTTTCCAAATAGGCCAACACCTGTTCTATGTTTTTACTGCTGTTCCCTCACTTGCGAACCGCTTAGATCATTCATTGGCCATGCTGGAAAAATTGCTGTCAGCACAGCCGTGTAAAAACACTGTAAGTCAATGTGCGAGATGTTTAAAAAAAATCTAAAGATGTCATCCTGAGGGAGCTTATTGTGGATTGGTGGCATTTTCCCACATGAATGTTTCAATGATGACAACTGTGGCCCATTTTTAATGAGTTCAAGTGAAACATCACAGTCAGTCATAAACCTACCTGGTGCTGAATGAAATTTGCCGGACTGCCCCTTTTTATATCTTTAGATTGCTCGTTTCGGGTGCTGATTCCATCTGTGGGAACAAAAAACACAGAACACAAATTGAAGTGCAAATCACATGCAAATACTACGAGAAGATAAACAATCTCAAATGTCAGTGAATCCCCCTTCTGTGCTGCGCGAAAGTAACCCTGAACTCCTGTCGCTTGTGGTTGTTTCAATGCGGACAGGCCAGGAAATGCAGATAAAAAGTTTTATGAGGTGTTGTTGTACTCCCCATTATGCACCTTGGTGGATGCATCCGCATACAGCCAGTGCAAGTCAAATATTAAACCCCAGATTTGTGTGAATGAATGACACAATGCCTGTGCAGGTATGGCTTGGCCAAAAGAAGGAAAGCTACCTCACGTGCACACAAAACACAAAACCAACCACTGATGGGGATGCAAACGCGGTGGACATTTCAGCTTATACTTCTGAAACGCTGATGCTGTGTACAAAACAACAATCCATCTCTCGGAGCAACTTCGTATGCTGTGTTTTTAGAAACATCGTTGTTTTAAGTGACAAGTGACTTTGTATGTTTCACTACATAAAAGTTGTAATCATTGAAAATCGACAAAAAAAAAAACACACCAACGTGTCACGCGGTTCACTAAAAACTGTTGCGAGTGAAGCACACACACACACAAAAAGAAAAAACACCTGTGCACCTCCTCGCTTTTAAAACAATTCTCAACTCCAAAACTACGACGTCAAGCAAAAGGAAAAAGAAGGCGAACAAAGTTCCAGCTGTTTGTACATCAGACCTTGGAAGACAAGAGTCGACCCGTGCGCGTATCCAAAACTCGGGGAAGTATATCCAGCTAACGTCGGTACATCCGTGAGCCGCGGCGACCGTGAACCGGAGGTGGCGGCGCTTTTGTCAGCAGGATCTCCGGCGGCGCTGAGGAGGAGGAAGAAAAGAGTTGTCGCGGCGAAGTTGCGAAAAGAAAGTCCGCCCCCTCCTCCTTCTCCTCCTCCTCCTCCGTGGCTCTTTCTGCTGACAGAAATAGCAAGCGAGCAAGGCGGGCCCCACCAAAAATAGCCTCGATTTTACTCGGACCTGGATCATTGATTTCACCAACGACAAATTCCCATGGGATACTGTACACGCGACAGCAAATCTGCATTTTCTCATAACTTTTATCATCATCATTATGAACATAAATAAGTAGAGGCCAAAGTAAGCGCTTGAGTTGATCAATGGAACCTACTCTGTGGCTCCATCTACTGCCAGTCAAATTCATACCCGGCAGTGTTGCACTTGTTTGAACGGAGCCGGATGAAAGCGGGTTTGTCTGTGACACCCGCTGCATTTTTTTTAATCGACTCATTTACATTCTAAAGGTATTGTGGGAAATTGTGAAACAGCACTTCTATTTGGGCTGCTTATCAACCTCCAAATTCCAAACTGGAATTGGCCCGTGCGTTTAGTACCATGCATTCGGTGGGACTTTTACGATTTAATCTACCTCTTGATACGAGTACCATCACAGAAAAGAAAGCATGAATTCAATACACCACAGGTGTCAAACCCAAGGCCCGGGGGCCAGATCTGGCCGAGCACATCATTTTATGTGGCCCGCAAAAGCAAATCAGAAATGTCCACTTTCATGATGCTTGCTAAAATCTCGACCAAAAATTTAAATTATCATATTTAATTAATAAATTGGACACATATTGTAAGCATTTTCTTGTGACCAAACCCCTCATTACAGTAACTTAATCAATCGTTGAATAAACCGTGATTATTGACTTTTTTTATATGCTGTCAGTCACAATGGCCCTCCAAGGGAAACGCTAAGTAAAATGTGGCCCACGACAAAAATGAGTTTGACACCCCTGCAATACACAAATGCAGTGTAACGGCACAAAATTGCACCATGTAATTCATCTGGAGCAGTTCAGAATTAACATTTGTCTGTCATCACATCACATTAATACCAAACAAAAATACATTTCATATACACAGATGTATTAATGGGTGCAAATGTGTTTTGGTTCCTTATCAAGCCTCTTCGGCGCTTGCTGATCAGCTGATCATTTGAATTAGGTGTGTTGCAAGAGGGGGAGAGAGAGAAAACAGGCAGGGCAGCGGCCCTTAAGAACCAGAGCTGGCCATCCCTGCTCTGGATAAACATTGTCCAAAGTAGCAGCAAATTCTAGCGGGAATTGTGCAAGGCTGACAGATTTCCCGTCTGATTTTTCAGTCATGTTTCTGAATTATAGCAATATAGTTCTAGGAAGAGCAAGCAGAAAGGGTTTATGTATTTAATTGAAGTATTTTTTTCTCACTCACTGACTATGTTTATGGGCCAAGAAACATTTGGAGTTCTTTCTTTTAGTGTGAGGTACTAAGAAGTCAAAGAAACACAGAAGTGCCACAGTCACTGCATGTGGATTTTTTTCTTGAAAGTGTATCAATAAAATAGCCGTGAATTGAAGCAGGCATTATGGGAATGCAAAATATTATCTTGAGTACAGATTTACAGTATATGTCGCTATTCATTCTCAATGAATTCAGCTGGTCGTCCGGTCTTCCACATAGCTTGAATCAACGTAGGCATTTCTCATAGTTGCTCGCTTTAGGATAGGCAATAAACTCGACACCCGCTTCCAGTCATCGCTATTGCACAAGCCGTGACTGCAATGTTTCACCATGATTTATGCGGGAACAAACTTTATATGTCACCTAATAAAGCAGATTTTCGCAATGGTTTGTAATGCTGAGAGATAATCTGATTCAGGATTCTTTGTGACAGTTGTTGAAAAATGTAGGATGTGACAAACTTTATATGCCGCATTTAACTATGTGGTGTTTTGCTGCAGCATGTTTGTTTGTCTTAGGTCTGATACACGTAAATTTCTTAAAGCTTCTTTTGTCTGTGACAGAATGCACACATAAAGATTATTTTTTAAAAATGAACAGTTTTGGTCGTGTGGTCTGCTATGATTATCTCAAAACGGATTCTCATACGCACCGGTCTAGAATCCAGCCCTCTGAGGCAGAGCTCTGGTATGATCACAAATGATCTCACAAACGTGAAGACGAGCAGGAACTTTCAGGTCTGCGCCGATGCTTGATGAGTGTTTCGAAAGGGGACCTGAGGCGGGAGTGTTGTAAGATGACGATGTACCAATACCAACAGCATAGTTAACCACTGACTAAACGAAGGATGAAGGAGACAAGCAAGACTTCGAAGGATATTTAGCCCATTGTAGTTGTGAGCCAACAAGCTTTGTGTACATTTTTGTTGAATCAATTGTCTTCATAACTTTTGTATTTCATTTATTGTTTCGTATTGCCGCTTGTATTTTTATGCCCATGTTTGTGACCAGTTCTCATAGCTTTGTTACAGCTGCAGCGGTTGTGAAGGCTCTATAGAAATAAAGCTGTATTGTATTGTATTCCCTTTAGCATAGCACCATCTAGTGGATGCATAGCGCAACTGCAGACACTATTGTAGCTTCTATTCTATGCGCCTTATAATGTGGTGCGCCCTATCTATGAAAACAGTTTAAAAATAGGCCATTCATGGAAGGTGCGCTTTATAATTCAAAGGGTTTTATAATCCTAAAGTCAGAAAATACGGTATAATTTTAGAGGATAATCTCCTAAAATTGTCAGCCATTTGATGTCCATCGTCAGGAAGTGACAAAATCATAAACACATAAACATAATCATGATGTTTTGGTAACGATTTTGTCTCTGTGTGGCGAAAACCAACCACTCTCAAGTCAAGGAAGCGACCGTAAATAAAAACAAACATCCAACCAATGTCGTTATTTTGTATAAAAGTAAATTCCACGTTGCCAAAAGTATTTTCCAAACCAAGTCTTTCTTTTTTTTTTTTCATGTTGCCATTATACACACAAGCTCCTCCAACCTCTCGGGAAACCCCTCGGAAAACATCAGCCCAACATATCCGGTCATGTAGCTCACATGAGAGTTTTCTGCTTCAGAAGTCACATCCATGCATACATTTTCTAAGAAATTTCTCGGGGCCCAAAACCGTTGAGAAACCTTCCTAGATGGTGTGAATGCGGGACGGCTGTGTCAGCTACATATGAGTAACATCCTATTAGCGTGACACAATGTAATTGGCTTGTACGTTCAATAATAAGAGCAAGGCTGCCCATTAAACAAATGACAACAATAGAGCACATTCTTCGGCCTTTCTTCTTGGCATGTAAAAAGAAGGCAAGCTTTGTCTGGGAAAATGGCGCCTTTTGCGTTCTTCTCATCCCATTTGCGTGAATATCAATAACAGGCTGCATTGTCTTTAGATCCTAATCCAAGCGCTATGTTGTGGTTTCTTTTTGCAGACATTCTCTGTTGATGCCGGCTGATTCCAGTGAAAACAATTGGATCGCAGTACCTGGATTAGGCCGAACTGCTTGGGAGGAACGGGGAAAAGTGTTGCAACACACAAGTTAAATTTGCATCGTTATTGTCATTTTGCCTATATGGAGGCAAGTTTATGACTGGCCTTTTCCAGTTTGTAACTGAACAGAAGCGTTTACCCTTTTCAGGGACAGTGGTTACTGGAGTGGACAGCTATGCAAATGTTGTTCTCTTTTGTACTAATTAATCTTAATGTCACTGTTGTTCATCAACCACTACAATGGGCCCTTATGTGTGTTGCCATCCACGGCCTTCTAAGGGGATTATTATTTTTTTCATACCTAAAGACTAATAAAAAAAAAAAAAAATCCTGATGTAGGTTATCATTATTTGTGCATGAAAGGGTTAATGCGCATTACTGTCTCCCAGTGAAAAGGTTCTGGGATGGAAATGTGGCTCGCTCACACGTGATGTGCCAGAAGACCGCGTTTGTGCAACGTATGGACCGGGCTCAGACCGCTACACCTCAAACTGAAAAAAATAGGAAGTTGGTTCCCCTTCGCAGCTTCCACTTCAAGGTTTTTGTGTTGACGGTCAAGTCTGGGTTCTCAGCTGGTTCCGACTGCGTGAGCACTTTTCTTCTTTTTAAAAATATACAGACATTTTATCATCTTAATTATATATTC